AACCAACATGGTTAGCAATTGTGTGGATTGGTGGATTGATACTGGAGCCACAAGGCACATTTGCAAATCCCGAACCATTTTTTCTACATACCAAAAAGTCTCGGATTCTGAACCAATGTTTATTGGGAATGGCTCTACTGCAAAAGTTGAAGGAAAGGGAAAAGTGAAGCTGCAACTGACTTCTGAAAAAGTGCTCATTTTAAGTGATGTTTTGCATGTTTCTGACATTACTAAGAATTTGATTTCTGGTCCTATTCTTAGTAACAAAGGTTTTAAACTTGTATTTGACTCTGTTAAGTTTTTTCTCACCAAGGGTGGGGTGTATGTTGGAAAGGGATACCTTAGTGAGGGTCTCTTCAAAGTCAGTGTCTTACCTTTGTACTATGGTGTTGAAACACCAAACAATGATGTAACCAATGTTAATGCTAGTGCAATAGTGGGCACTACTAGCCCCTCTTCTATGTATATGCATGATCCTTCAATTTTGTGGCATTCTCGTTTGGGACATGTCAATTTTCGTTCTATTCAAAGAATGGCAAAACTTGGCATGTTACCAAAATGTTCATTAGATAAAAACATAAAATGTGAGGTTTGTGTAGAATCAAAATTTTCACAACATCCTCATAAATCAGTTGAAAAATCTAATGAAATACTTGGCTTAATCCACTCTGATTTATGTGATTTTAGAGCAACGCCTACAAGAGGAGGAAAGAATTATTATATATCTTTTATTGATGATTGCAACAAGTATTGTTATATTTATTTGTTAAATACCAAAGATGAAGCCTTGAATTATTTTAAGAATTACAAGCCTGAAGTTGAAAATCAACTTGACAAAAAGATCAAAATTCTAAGGTCTGATCGAGGAGGAGAATATGAATCCAAAGACTTTGCTGAATTTTGTTCTTTAAATGGTATTATACATCAAACAACTGCTCCATATACTCCTCAACAAAATGGAGTGGCAGAAAGAAAGAATAGAACATTGAAAAACATGATTAATTCAATGTTAATTACTTCTGGAGCACCACATAATCTGTGGGGAGAAGCATGTCTTGCAGCAAATTCAATACTTAATAGAATTCCTCATAAAAAGAGTGATAAATCACCCTATCATCTGTGGAAAGGGAGGTTACCCTCTTATAAAAGGATGAAAGTGTGGGGTTGCCTTGCTAAGGTACAAGTACCTCTTCCTAAGAGGACTAAACTTGGACCAAAAACCATAGATTGCATCTATCTTGGCCCTGCCATGAATAGTGCAGCGTATAGGTTTCTTGTGTTTAAATCACATTTTGATGATATCCATAACCAAACCATCATGGAATCAGCAGAGGCTGAATTCTTTGAAAATATTTTTCCTTTTAAGGATAAAGGGAAAGAGGTAACCTGCTCTAGGAAAAGACCTCTAGATGATGGACTAAATGATACCATTCTAGACAAAAGTTTACAATCAAATGAAGAGAGTTCTTCTAAGGTTCAAGAAGAGAACTTAGAACCCAGAAGAAGCAAACGGGGCAAAATAGCCAAAGATTTTGGACCTGATTACATGACCTATGTAGTGAATAAGGAACCACAAACCTACAAGGATGCTATGGATTCGTCTGAAGCTCCCTTTTGGAAAGAGGCAATAAAAAGTGAGATTGATTCCATTGTGCAGAATAACACTTGGAAATTGGTAGATTTGCCACCTAGGCAAAAACCAATTGGGCATAAATGGATATTCAAGAAGAAGTTTAGACCTGATGGTACCATTGAGAAGTACAAAGCTCGTTTAGTAGCTAAATTGTATCATCAAAAATAGGGTCAAGACTTCTTTGACACCTATTCACCTGTTACAAGAATTACATCAATTCGCACATTAGTAGCAATTGCAGCCATTCACAATTTGGAAATACACCAAATGGATGTGAAAACTGCCTTCTTGTATGGTGAAAATAGATGAAGAGATATATATGAACCAACCTGAAGGGTTTGTGGTTAAGGGTCAAGAAAACAAAGTTTGTAAGTTAGTTAGATCATTTTATGGACTAAAACAGGCTCTAAAGCAATGGCATGAGAAGTTTGACAACGCATTACTCTCTAATGGATTTAGAATTAATGAATGTGATAAATGTGTTTATGTCAAACAATACAAGAATGCTTGTGTCATCATATGCTTGTATGTGGATGATATGCTTATAATGGGTACTAATTTGGATGTGATCAATCAAACCAAGAAAATGCTACACTCCTCCTTTTCCATGAAGGACTTGGGAGTAGTAGATGTGATCCTTGGTGTAAGAGTTCAAAGAAGATCAGATGGTTATACTCTTACTCAGTCCCATTATATTGAAAGTGTACTTAAGAAGTTTGGACACTATGATGACAAGCTGGTAGTCACCCCTTTTGATCCTTCAAGTCATCTTAAGAAGAATAAAGGTGATAGTGTAGCTCAGTTAGAATATACTCAAGTTCTTGGTAGCTTAATGCATATTATGAATTGTACTAGACCGGACTTGGCTTATAGTGTAAGTAGATTGAGTCGTTACTCCCATAATCCTGGGAAAGATCATTGGTATGCATTAGTGAGAGTGCTTAGACATTTAAAGCATACTATGAATTATGGACTGCATTACCTGAAATATCCTCCTGTTCTTGAAGGGTATTGTGATGCAAATTGGATTTCCAATACTTCAGAGGCAAAATCCACAAGTGGATATGTGTTCACTCTTGGTGGAGCTGCTATCTCTAGGAAATCATCTAAGCAAACTGTAAATACTCGTTCGACAATGGAAGCAGAGTTTGTTGCTTTAGACAAAGCTGCTGAAGAAGCTGAATGGCTTAAAAGCTTCCTAGAAGGTATTCCTCTATGGCCTCAACCTGTTACTGCCATTGGCATACATTGTGATAGTATGGCTGCTCTTACTAGAGCACAAAGTCATATATACAATGGCAAGTCGAGACACATTAGGCGCATACATATTACCATAAGAGAATTGCTGAAGAATGGAATCATTTCCATTAGTTACATAAAGTCAAAGGAAAATATAGTTGATCCCCTGACAAAAGGCCTTAGTAGAGAGCAAGTTCTCTTCACATCGAGGGGAATGGGCTTAAAGCCAACACAATGAGTCACCACCTGGTGGAAACCTAACCTAGCAACATTGGCGATCCCATGGTCTAGGTTCAATAGGAAAACTAGTTGGGGAAGACTCAAAGAAGCACTAACACAAAGGTATGCTCACTCCTATGATATTTATTTTGTGTTTTTCCGCTGATGATATAGGGATGAATTCTTTATTCTTAATAATGTTGATAGCTTTTATAGTGGAATAGTACGGATTGTTCCAGATTAGCATTACCTATGTGAGATGGATGTGAGGTCGCATCTTTGGGAGCTGATATGGCTAAGCTCTCTAAAAGTCTCATGAAGAAAGGATTGTTCACGACCGAAACGAACACAACGGTAAGAAATGATCTATGCTTAGATATGATATGTGTGATACTTCTTGTTTTCGATTCTACTATAAAAAGTGGTTAACCCACAAAGTAGATCCAAGTAATACTCACTATGAAAGGTTCAAGTTTTACAACACCTATTCAGATGCATGTCATATCTTACTTCCCTTATTTGAATATCAAAGTTCACTTATTTTCTATTCAAATGTGGGGTATTCTTGGAGTTTGAATAGAAAATGTGGGGTATTGTTGGAACTTTGTTAAATGGAAAACTCTCTCTATGGGACTTGTCCCACATTGGAAGAAAGAGGAACCTTATACTCCCTTAAAAAGCCTCCTACTAGTTGTTTACTAATTAGATCAAAGGCTTGGACTAGAGGGATCGGGTTGGATTTGGTGATTGGGCTAGTCAAAATGGTCTTGAAAGACTTAGATTAATATATATATATATATATATATATATCTATATATATATATATATATATATATATATATATATATATTCATTCCGATTTTGACTTTTATTATCTATTAAAAAATCTGTTAAATTCGTTTTAACTGTTTTGACAGTTATTTTCGGTTAACAGTTTTTGGAGGGAAAAACAGTCAATCTATACCTATAAATAGATCACCAAAGAACAGATTTCGGGTTCAGAAAAACCATACAAATATTCCTCATATAAATTCGTATTCCACATACAATGAAGGGAACATAGTGAATTTCGTCAGAATCAAGAGAAGATCTTGGTTGATTGTTGTATCCTCTTCACAGATCTCTACCAGGGAAATTTCTGTCTTAGGACACTGCAAGGCAGGCCTCAATCTCTATAATTTCGTGATTATATTTCTGTGTAATCATCAAACAAGTATGTTTTCTGTAAATTGATTCTTGTATATTAAATATATCTTAATTTAGTTCGTTTTATTTCAATTACTTTGTTGATTGTATACTTCTGTATTAACAAATCTGTAGTTTATGTTAGCATCGGAATCATGGCAACGATGACAGTAGACCAATTCGTTGAAATCTGGCATGGATTAGTGAACAGTGGATACCCTTTCATGTTCCTGAAACGGCCTGGTTCGGTCACCGGAGACTATGATGAGAGTAAAGTTCGGGGGAATCCTGTCGGTGAAACTAACCGGAGAGGGTTCATTACAACATGGGTTCCGCAAGAGGAGGTGTTAGACCATTCTGCAATCGGTGGTTTTCTGACACATAGTGGATGGAACTCGACGGTGGAGAGTATGGTGGAGGGGGTTCCGATCGGCAAAAGTGGTGGCGGAGGCTGGTGCGAAAAGTGTGTCGGAAAATGGCTCTTCGTTGATGGATTTGAATCGTCACCATTAATAAGTCAAATGATTTTAAGTATTGAATTTTTGATACCAAGGAAATTAAATAAAATGGAACATCTAAATTAGGGAAAATGCTTTTTCCTTGAAAAAGCCACTAATGATTTTTTTTGTAACAATAAAACCATTTTTTTACCTTTGCAAATTAGTCTAAACTAGGGAAGGATGCAATTTTGCATGGATCAGGAGGGGTTTTGTTTATTGTTTCAATGGGTAAACATAATACAGTTATATGCGAAACTGGATTGCATTTAAGAGTAGATATTACAAAATAGGAAAACAACCCCTTTATTGGTCATTTAAACAATTTTTGAAGAACAAATTCCAAAATAAATGAAACTATGATGAGTTTTGTTCTCCACATCTTTCCAATGATCTTCCCCTCTTCTATCTCTTTGTCCTGAAGTAAATATAGTTGTCCATCCGAGAATCCAATCAGTGTTGTTTCACATGAAAAGGAAGCTTCCCAACAACAGATTGTTTATGTAAATACAAAATTTCACAAAGCCAAAACAACAAAGACGTTAATTGTAGAATGACAACCCAACAGTTTTGCCAGATGATAGAGAGGGTAGAAAGGTAAATTACATTTCCTACATCCCAGTTTAGCATCATAATATATTTAAGTGGGTATATTATAAAGAAAAACAAATTTCCACTTATATATACTCACTCAACACTGATACAAAACAGTGTCACTCAATCAAATTAGGAATATAAGAGTTGATAGACCAATACCAATAATCTTACTTCAAGTCTTCAACACCAATACATTCTAATCAATTCTTTGGATATTCTGCACCTAACATGAAACAGTTGAATTAGTTCAAATTAAGGGGTAATTGACCAAAAATATATTAAATGCTCCATTTCTCGCTTGCCACATGCATATACAGATGAAAGATAAACAAAATTTGGTACCATATGCAAGAAAATTTGTAACTTACCCAGAAATTGGCCCAAGGAAAAAGATTGACAGCAGCATAAATTTTGTCAGGTAAACCAAACATAAATCTGATATTTTTTTTCTGCACAAATTATTTATAATTAGGTCTTTTAAAGGCACCAAGATGTGATCTTTTCCATAATAAATTAAACACTACATGCAAATATCTTGCTTACTTTACCCTTTTGATTTTTGTCCATTACAGATGATAAACCAATATATATTGAAATAGTATGCATCAACAGAGGTGGAAAATAACAGAGGATAACACAACATAACAGTTAAAACACCAACATAAAGATGGTATATACTTTACAAATTTGCAGGGACAGGGACATAGATACAAACATGAAAACCTTTTGAGGTTGCAATATTTTCATACATTTGTAAGGATTAAGTTTATTACACATTAAGTCAAAAAAGAAACACAACCTTAATTATAAACTTATAATTAAATTCTTAATGCAAAATTGGCTTATGAAGTAGATGCTTTTATCTACCTGCCTGGAGCCACTTTTGCTATCCCAGTCCATCTGTTGCCAAAATATCCATTGGGCCTCATCTCCATTACGTGTTTTACATCATTATCCAAGATTAGTGATTCTATAATTGGAAAAGATTATGATAAAAGTGACTAAAACTTCAACTTTACCTTCTTCTACATTGCCATATATTAAATAACTAATTACTGATACTTAAACAAAACTGAAAAAATGATCGAAACACAGACCTATTTGTCCCGATTGCCGATAAATAGAGAAAAGAGGATAATCTGATTTCCTGAGTGCTACTTGTGTTGAGCAAGAATCTGCCATTGGAGAAATTGCTTCTTTGCTTAACGGTTCTTACTGCAATATCAATAGGAAATCAATTAAATGCATAGAAACATACCATTATACGAACCAAACACACCCAAATGCTCCCAAAATATGAAATAACTTGAAAATTGTAACCATATAAGAAAAGTATGAGAAAAATATTATATATTTGACAACTTAAAGTTTTTGTAACGCGATGAAGACATACCTGAAGCGCACCATCATAATTAGTTGCAACATCAGTTGACTTTCTGGGTGAATATAAATGTGAAACTCCAAAAAAAAATCTAAAAGTTCTTTTCTTAAGTAAAATTTCAAAGTAAAAACTGTAAAAAAAAATATCACTATGCCTTCTCAAAACTGAAACCAAAATTCGAAGGAAGTGTATTATGCATTCCACATCATATATCATATTTTTTTCTTAAGAATCAGTTTGTGTGCAATAGAATTAAATTGACTAACCTCTTTGATGTTGTAGAAATGCACACCAAAACATGATTTAACATCTTTCTACGCCAGAGAGAGGAGAAATCATGAAAGGTACTGTAAAAGGTCTGTAATCGCAGGTGGGAAAAGAAAACGGATGCGCACCTGGTATTTGCAAGCAGTAGTTGATATGTTGGAAGTATCATGTAGTTGGTATCTTGGTAAGGTAATCGAAATTGATTCTCTATATGAAGGAATCGATTTCTACTCGACAATCACCCGTGCAAGATTCGAAGAGTTGAACATGGATTTGTTCAGAAAGTGTATGGATCCAGTTGAGAAGTGTTTAAGAGACGCGAAGATGGACAAGAGCAACGTCCACGACGTGGTTCTTGTGGGTGGGTCGACCCGGATCCCTAAAGTTCAACAACTGTTGCAGGATTTTTTCAACGAGAAAGATCTCTGTAAGAGCATCAACCCAGATGAAGCGATGGCTTATGGTGCTGCAGTTCAGGCGGTCATTTTAAGCGGCGAAGGAAACGAAAAAGTTCAGGATCTTCTTCTTCTCGATGTCACCGCTCTGTCTCTAGGGCTTGAAACCGCTGGTGGTGTTATGACGGTGTTGATACCCAGAAACACCACAATTCCGATCAAGAAAGAGCAGGTGTTCTCTACTTATTCGGATAATCAACCGGACGTTTTGATTCAGGTTTACGAAGGTGAAAGAACTCGAACTAAAGACAACAACCTGCTCGGAAAATTCGAGCTTTCCGGGATCCCTCCTGCTCCTCGTGGTGTTGAACTGTAAGCGGAGACGGAGACAAAGGGTTTGTGAAGATGTTGAACAGGGTCGTCGAGGTTAGGAGGAGAAAGGCAAAACATATTTTGAAGATAGGGGTTTTATGGCCATCTCATTCGAGAAGGATCCATGAGCAGAGGCGGTGGAAAAAAGTATTGGGTATATCAGTGGGAAAGAGAAGAAATATACGTGAAGGATCATCAGTGCGTGGGAAAAACGTATTAACCTTTTGAGGCGGTGGATGAAACGTGGAAGGACAAGGAGCAAGGCAACATAACACGTAGCCTTAGGGTCTTCTTAAATAAAAAATATAAAAAAAAAATTCACCAATCAAAAAAAGATATTGTTCTCAAAGGAACATACTTTTAATCTAATATATAATTACCGGTTTGTAACTCTATCCACCTTTGATGACTTGGCTTTTGTCCACGACATAGAGTCTGAAGGGCAGGTGTTTAAGTTAATCCAACTTAAAAAATAAAGTAAATTAAAAATTTGGTCTTACGGTTTATTAAAAATTATGGATAAAGTTTTAAAAAGTTTTTTACTTTGCATCACTAGTCTAAAACATGAAAGTTTTATATATTTGATTCACGTCAAACTTGTATTATACACTTTAATTGACAACAAATACTGTCAATGTGGTTTTTCGTATTTTTGGTTTCTTCTCTAGCTCTTTTTCATCACATGGATTTATGCATATGGTTTCAATTTTGTGCATGGTTAGTCTCATGAAGATATTGTTATACCATTTTTAACATCTTTTATATTTTTTCTTTTATTTATAAAAATATTAAAGCAATAGGGTCCACCATACCCCTACGGCATACACATATACCCATTTGTGAGGATATAACACCCAAATTTGACATGTGGAATATAAAGAACAACATAATAAACAATTTCGATGCAATGTTTAAGTTCAAAATATATAAATGATAAAAGTAGAACAAAAACCGCTAGAAGAATGCCTTTCTCAACTACCATAAACAATCTATCAAATCTACTCTCTAAACAATTTAAACATACAAACGGGAGCTCAGATCTACAAATAAATACGACTACACTATATATTGAGGAACTACAACCACATAAGTCATTAGGCATAAAAAAAACTATATGTCATATATGTTGGGATATAGTGTCCATTGTCACAACTGTTGGTAGTATTATTATTCATAATAGAGTACTTTTGGATTACACGCAACGACAAAAATAAGCAAGTGATGACACAAGAAAATTACAGGATCTGTAGTTAATTAATTAATACTTTAATTAATTAAATGAAATATGGAGTTCTAGATAAATGATATGGCAATTATCGTGTGACATAATATATATCTTTTAAGGGTTTAAATAATTCTCAATAAATAGAGGGGTCTTAGGCCGAAATTAAGAAAAAGGTTTTCACAAACCCTAGCCTAAATTTTGGCAACATTCCTCAAATCTCGAAACCCAGTAAACCCCATAGGTCGAGACACGACCAGTCACTGTGTTCGTTTTTCTGCATCACGTTCACGGAGTTCGCTAATTGGATTATTCTAGGATGTTGTTGATCTACTTCTTGGGTGCAACTACAAAAGATGAGTTTTGCGTAGGACTCTTATCACTCGTTATTCAATAAATAAAAAGGACGCTTCAACGATTACAACGACTATGGATTCTTGTTTATTCTCCTTTAGTTTAAGTGGCATATATATATATATATATATATATATATATATATATATATATATATATATATAATGGTTGGTTTATGAGGTGATTGTTATTAGATTTTTATGGTGCTTTCGTTGTCCCTTTCGTTGTCTTAGGCCCATCATAACCCAAAAGTGGTATCAGATTGTTCACATCTATTGCATTTACGGTTACTAGTTTTTGTGTTTATTGAGTTTGCATATCCAAATATGCTTTAGTTTTTTTGAATTTTAAATAGTTTTAAATGTTTTAGAATTACCTTTAAAATTTGTAAGGGTTCTTAACTGTTTCAACGCCTCTGCGGGATTGTGTAGGTCACTCTATGTGGGGCGTAGGACATGCTACGTGATACAGAGGGTCGATACAATAAACCCTAACATTTGTCTTCTGAAATCATATATTTATCTAGGTATGTGTTGTGGTAGGCCTTCCTCCACAACGCATAGGGTATGCACCCAAAAAACTGTGTCCTGTCCCTATCTATATGACTCGATTTTAAGCACATGCAAACTTGTCAAATTTACTTAAGCTGGAGATCAAAATGCTAATTGGTTTAATTATTTAATTAGGGTTAGATTAATTAATTAAAAGTCAAATATTGTGACCTTTTTTGATATATTTTTTGTTAATTTAGTTATTGACTTGCGTCCTCTCATGTCCAATTAGAGTTAAAAGACATAGAAATTTAAATAGTTTAAATTCTGTAATATATATATATATATATATATATATATATATATATATATATATATATATAACACCCGCAGAGTCGGACTAGTCAAGCTAGAAATAACAAGCGTTAAAAATGACTATTTAATAGAAGATTATTTAGTAGAAATAATCTTAACCAAGTTAAATTATATGTCACAAGGATTCCGTGCATATAAAAAACACTGAAATCCGACTTCATATGAAGAAGTATGCTTCTTCGAAGTTTCGCAATTAAACCGACATTGCTCTACATATCGTAAAAAGTGAATATTTGATAGATTACTTTTTAGCCTAAAAGATCTAAATGAAATCCGTAATAGTCGTTAAACTGAGAGCGTGCATATAGAGAACATTAAAATCTAACTTAATAAGAGGAAGTTATGATTTTTCGAAGTTTCAGCTCAGTACGGACCCAAAAATCAAAATTCAAATCGGTTGATTGTTAGCCGAAACAATCTAAAGAAGAATTGAAGATCTCGTAAATATGAACTTGTCAATATAAAGACAGTCGAGAACGGAGTATGTATGTAGGAGTTATACTTTCTGTAACGATTCCTAACAGCTTAAGCCTATCCAAAATAAAATTTTGATTGAGTGAGAATTAGTTGTTGAGATCTAAAGGATAGTTGTAGATCACGTCGATAGAGTTTTGGGGATATAAAGAATGTCATAAATGGAGCTCGTATGAAGAAGTTACGCCATTTTGAAAATCTGGAAATTTGTGTGCGCGAAGTGCCTGGCACGCGCGATGACATGGCACCACGAGAGGGCGCCACGTGGCATGGTCGGGAGCCGCCTTCCTCCAAGAGACATGTCAACGTGGCTCCATGAGATTTTGACACGTGACACCATGGAAATGTGACACGTGGCACCTTCTAGAAGAGGTGTTTGTGGACCGCTGATATCACGACACGTGGCACGAGCCGGGGGGAGCGACATTGCAAAAGCGCACAACGCGCACCCCAGATGCGCGTGGCGCACCTGGCAAAATCACCTATAAATAGTCCCTGTCGTATAAGATCCTCATATCAATCCCCTAGAGTCTCTCTCTCTCTCTCTCTCTCTCTCTCTCTCTCAAATTTGCCTCATGTAGACCTTTTTTCCTTGAGTTCCTGGCCTGCAGCGAAGCCCTGCGCACCCACGAGTGCTCAACCAGTTGTAACCTTCGAGTAGGAGATCTCAAGTCAGTGTTGTGCCCACTTAGTTCTCAAATTTCATCAAGAACCTCTGTAAGTGAAGCTATATTTGGTTTATGTTAAGTGTAACTTATATTTATAGTCATAAGTCGTTTATTATGAACCTATAAATAAGATTTATCAGTTATTCCAAGTCATTATACTGATTTTATACTTACGAGAGAGGTGTCTAGAATGGTCATGTTGGCTTGGTTGTTGGATTTTAGAAAAGTTATTATGCCGAAATGATCCTGTCTCCCAACTGTCCTGCTTGGCTAGTCCTTACTTGATAGATCTTGATGTAGACATTGAGATTAGTGAGGAATCTAGACTATAATTATTATAGTCACCAAGATTACGAAACTAGACTAAGGCTTAGTACTTTATGCGTCTAGGTCTTTTCAAAGTACGAAGTGAAGCTTTGATGAAATCGTCAGTCATCCACTTTTATTAAGTGAGTGCATAGTTACTTTCATCTTACACATAGATATGAACTATCTAGATAATTACATACTTTATGTGCTTATTATCTGTGCCAAAAATGTTATGTGTTAGATAAAATAATATGAGATGACATTTAAATTGATTTAATCATATAAGTATTATACACTTATAAATATGTATTTGGTAGTGATAGGGGATGGTAGATAAGAGATGAAAGATAGTGGATGGTAGATAGGTAATGATGAATAGGTGATGATAAATAGGAGATGACTAGGAGATGTCCTAACATTGACTTGCGATGTTGCGATGTAGTCATCTACCAGAGTATAGATGGAGACCACTGACTAATCTAAACAGGTCTTATGGAAACACTGGCATGCTCATAACCTGTAGCTGATAAATTACGAGTTCAAGCGATGTAGTAACTACGTATTAATACGATGGTACTCTATAACATTTGGTAAAAATAAGTCAAAGTTTGTCGGTCAAACCACCGCAAACACCCATGTAACATGACCTATTGTGTAGTATTCCTGGTTATTAAGTACAATTTAAGTCATTATACTTGAAATTGCATAAGGAATACCTTGAAACCTCCCAAAACTGGCAATCGTCAACAATTAGAAAACAGTTCACAGAATAAGTATTGATTAACGCCCTAAAAATACAATTTTTGCATTAAGTATACTTAAGAGTTATAGACAAGTTATTTGAATATATTATGTTCCCCTGCTTCCGTGGATATAAAGAACACCCAAAACGGAGATCGTATGAGCAAGTTACGTCTCTTTTAAGTTATAAAATCAATATTTATCTAATTTTCCTAAAACGAACCTTGCACTGCTTTAATTGAAATAACTATGAAACACGTAAATCATTTTTGAGAATGTTTTTGAACTCAGACTATGATCTACTATTTTATTTCATTTTTATGAGATTTTGAATCTCGACCAAAATAATCGCGAAACTTTAAAAGTCATTTCACGGAGTTTAGTGTATCGGAATTAAATTTCGTCTTCACGAGATGATATGATGGCATGAGAATCGAGAAATGGAGTAACATCATATAAAGAACTATATACATGCTTTATTGTCAAAATATCTCCCATATCTTAATTTAAAATCAGATACATGTGCTAGCAGATCACTCTTGTACAAAGCAATCAAA